TGGCAAATTAAAAATATTCTTTTTCTGTTATGGAAATGTCTACATGTGGAGAGGGGGGATAGGGAGGGGCAGAGGAAGACATCACCATGTGTCTGCAAACACTGACAACAAGGATGAGAGAGAAATGCAGGCAGGGAGGAGGGAGCAAAATGATTCAGTTTGGATTTGAACATACTCAGAGCGGCCTTTTTCAAGAGCGCACCAGATGCTGTTTGAAATCTGCCCACAAAGAGAAACAAAGCAAGCGCTATCAGTCCTTCTCCACTGGTCTCTCCATCATATCCACAAATCAGAGAGTTCCTGCTAAGTGGCTGACATGCTCTACTCATTGGTTCAGTATAGACATTTCCCTAAAGAAACTTCATTTGCGTATTACAAACAACGCAATACGGAGAAAAATAGAAGATAATGATAGGTGGAAGAGGACAAATGAACAAAACACAATTAATCTATAAAACAATCACAATTATTTATCAGGACCAGAGGTCAAGAAGTCATAGCCGCCAAGTAAGTGAAACAAAGCAGTATAATTATAAATGTTATGCATTTATAATTATACTTCAATGGTTGTTACTTTAAAACATCCAACTGTGAGGAACAGACCTTTCCACTGTGCCTTGTGCACTCGCTGTGCCGTGTGTCAATTGGCTGTGGTTAAAAGCTTATAAAAGGTATTTAGACTGAGTTTGAGTGGTGACCCCCGTTTGAGTCATAATTATTGCTGTTGAATAGGGCAGTGAGGTAATGGTCCATAAATCCACTTGATCAACGGCTACACAAAGTCAATTACAGGACACTAGACAAGCCCCTGTGCTCCTGAAGAACAACCCCAGCAGATGTAAAGGGGATTTCTGCAACTGCTACTCTGCAATTTTTGAGGCCATTACAATGAAGGGGTTGCATGTTATATGCAACAACAAAAAGATGTCTTCATTTTTAAATTTTTCATAAGACTTTTTCTTTTTCTTATCTTATGTCACGGTTTGAAGCAATTACTACAGGAATATAAAATGTTAAATCCAAATGTGGAACCTGGAGATGTGTTTCCAGGCCCAAAAGATGGCCCCAAGTGGCAATACAAGACGGGAAATTTGGAAGATGGCCTTTAACAAAATAATGAGTTTGAAAAACTAACATATGACTCATTTTATTCTTTTAAACTTTTACAAACTCAAAAAGATGTAGGTATCAAAACTCACTCAAAATTCTGTGCTCCTATCAAAACTAGGTGTATTGAACTTCTTTTGTTTTGCTTAAAGTAATGTAATAGGCCTTATATGAAGTTCAGTCGAGTTATAAATCATAATGAAGAAAAAAGAAAGAAAAACAACAAAAACAAACTGATTTGAAGGAGAAATTATCTGAATGTTTGTTGTCTTAGTATTTCCATCTACAAGGAGCCACGAAGACCTTGTTTACAACACATTCTTGTGTGTTAAATGGCATCCTGCTGTTTCTCCAACACTTTAAGAAGTTGTACACTGTCACTGGGCATTTCCCCTGTGTCACTACTGTACAGAGAAGATCCCTTAAGTGCACATTACCAGAGACAAGCTCAAAATAGTGTCCCAGCAAAAGCCAGACATTGACTCAAGTGAAGAAAAGGGTATCCATCCAAATGCTTCTGACCAATATTTTGCAAACAAATACAATAAACAAAGGCACAAAAAATTATCAGTTGTCGATTCCACAGATGTAACCTTACTGGCCGGGGCTAAACAAAGGGCGGCACCCTCCTTATATGGAGCATTAGGCCCTTGGTTCCTGGGGGGGGTAAGGTGACACCCTCCATGTATGTGGTCTGTACAGCACACATCTGTCAGGCCTAAGGGGATGGGCAAAGACGCAGCAACAGTGCAGGGCTGAGAATAGGAGAGTGTGTGTCTATGGGACCCCTGCTGTGCCTGAGAAAGCTAATTCCCTTTATTTACTATGGAAGAATTAGTGTGTGATCGTATGATGCTGCTAAGCTTGTTCTAGTCGACTACCCCCTGCCATTTTATATTTCTTCATAAAAAAGTAAAGTAAATAAGTATTTTTCAAATGTGGGTACTAAAACAATGTTTCTTCAACTACATGCATCTGTAATTAAGATACACAACTTTAATATGACATATTTAGATCACAGTTTACATTGACCCATCCTCGCAAATATTCCTGATAGCAAGTATCCAAACAGTAAAGAAATTAAACAAACTTTTGGCTGGTTGATACCGGCCAAGTTCAGATTTACAAAGATCAAATAAAATCCAATAAGACTGTTTGCTTATCCACCTTCAATGGTTGAAAAGGCAGAGGGCAGAGGTTTTGATAACCCTTAGCCCCCAAGTCCTCTGTGGGTGTTCATCCTATAGGCCTACTAGCAATTAGTTACCGCATTAAAAGTGAGTAACAATTTTTTAAATATTAATGTTTCTGGAAAGTTTATTTATGACAAGAACTATAATTTGTGTCATCAACATGGTGTCCCTCATCAGTTAATAGTTTTTTTCTTCTTTATTAATCATTTTATTTAACAGATTGTCGGAGTTTGCGGATTTTATAAGAGTTGAATTAATTATTAAGGTAAGTGTTGTCGATCATGCATGTGTGTGTTTGATATGTAGGCCAAGTAGGAAGTGACCCATAAACACATCTTTCCAGCTCTTTCATTGGGGCCAGTGGAGCCCCTCCTCTTTCACCTCCTCATCTTCTCTCACACACTAAGCCCCCAGTGAGCACTAAGCAGGCCAGCGGGCCAGCCGAGGGGGCTCATTACAGGTCCACAGAGCCCCCAACACAAAGGCCTGAGCCGCTTTAGCCATGGGATGATCTGCTCTCTACTGACTAGAGAGAGTCCATAGACGGACAAAAGGAGGGAGTGAGGGAGGCGCTGAAAAAGAGCAGAGCGTAGGAGAGCCGTGGGCTTTAAGCATGTCAGGAGACCCCGAGAGAGAAAGGCTGGCGGGCGCTCACAGAGGAGCGGAGGGGAGCGGGAGGAGGTGACTTAAGCTGTGCGGCTACGTCAGGACATTAGCATTCACACTACCTCCCAACATCTGCTACTTGCTTCTAGGCCCCTGTCAGTCATCTCTTACAGCCCAATTTGTCCCGTCTTCTCAGAACAACATACAAAGACAGACAAGTGAACAGGCAAATCATATCATTGTACCCATTCAATGGTCAAATCATGCTTCTACTAAACTTTTAAAAAAGGTGCACAATCAATATTATGCACTAATAAAAATGCTAATTTTCTCATTTTAATTGCCTTTGAGTAATCATACATACAAGCTTTTATATAGCCAAAGTTAGAAAAGCCAGAACTGAGTTTGTTCAGATACACATAAAATGCTCCTGATCTAGTCCTGGAACTGCACTGACCATCTTTGACCGAGCCATAAACTGCTTCTTAAGGAAGAGTCTCGAGAGAAGAAAACCAGAGACATGTCCGGAGCTCAAATCCTCTCGCTCTAGTCTCGAGTCTGGCCCTAAGCCTGTGTCTGCTGCACCCGTCTGGCATAAAGCACTCAAAGCCATATGCTCAGTTTTATGATGCCTCACCATTAGTACCACATTAGCCTTTTAGTGTTGGCGGTGTGGGTGTCAAACACAAACAGTGCTGTGCAGAATGACGGCATGGGAAGGGCAATAATAAGGTCTCTTTGATCAGAAAACATATATGGTCAAAAATATGTACACTCCCAAACAACAGAGCTCCTGAAGTCAAAAAGCGTACACTTGAATTGTAGCTAAGGTTGGAAGCGGGTCATTTAGAAGAGGGTTAAGCAACAAAAACTCAAGTAGCAGATTACAATGAAAGGGTCATTGTAATCTGCTACTTGAGTTTTTGTTGCTTAACCCTGGGCCAAAGGACTGGGCCAAAGGATCAAATTGGTTGTCAACCTACGGGATAATAATTGACCCAAATTAAGACTTACTGGTTCCGGCTGCAACCCAATAATCATCAGACGGCCTCTGTGAGATGAGGACGTCAAGAACAAACAAACATATTCAAAGGCCTCATCCCTTTTAAAGCCGTTTTGAGCAAAAATGGGACTTTGGTGGTGAAAAAAAAGGCTTATTCTCAGAACAGGAAAAAAATAAACCTTGAGATGCTCACCCTGCAACATGATGATCTGGGGTGATTTTTATTTCCATTGAAAATAGAGCTTTGTTTGTACAGTGGCTGACTATGTGGCAGGAAGCTTCACGACTGAAGGCCCTCATCTGTGTGGTCATAATGAGCGGATTGAACAACAGAACAAGGCTGAAATTCAAAAGGCTCACCTAAAAGCACTTCAGTTGGGGATTGATACTAATGTGAAGTTTACAAAAACTGTTCAGCTACTAGACGCCCTCTGGTGAGCCATCTTCACCATTTGGAGCATTCCGAGCACAATGGAAACAGGTTCTTCAAAATAACTTAACAGGCCATTTCAGTTTATGTTGTCCAGATAGATAGAACAGAGCAAAATGTTTTTCTGTTTTTTTTCATTTGAGTATTTTATTTGGTGCAATAAGTCTGCTCAATTACAATGCAAATCAAAATGTTTAAAACTCCTGAATATAGTATTAGTCCACTCAAGTTTCTGCAATATTTGAACTCAGGACATGCAGGCAGAGCAACAGCCCACAATGCCATGGTGCAACGATTTAATTAGATATCTTTACCTCTCTGTACATAGCGCTCTTGCAGCTTTGTTGTGATTTTATCCTATACAGCAACATCATGATGCTCTGCTCCTCACAAGCCACACATGCATTTTGGAGCAGAACGGCTCGCGCAGAAGGTCTCGCTTTACTTGCGCCCCTGTCGTGACAGACTGGACCTTGCCCACTGCACGCCAGGTTTGAGACAGAAGGAAGGAGTTACATGTTTGTACCAGAACTTCCTGACATCAGTGTGAATGGAACAAAAAACAACTCCATGGTCTGTTCTTTTTTAAATAGTTGTAAAAGCTCAAAGCTTTGAGTAAAATCTAAGTACAATATTCTTCATACTTGTGTGTGTGCCTTACCTGCAGCCTGCAAAACCAGTTGCATTCGGACTTTGGCCTGTTCCGATGGAGTCTGCAAGAACAAGACAGAAACTTAAGTTAAAATACAATCAATTACTAAAATTGGGAGCCCTAAGAAAAGGATTATTATGGCAGTTACTGAAGAATTTAAACCAGCATGGCGAGTAACACAAATTCAGTAAAAAACAATAACTGTATTTAAAAAGAACAGGAAAACCACTGGAGATGGGTTAATATCAATGTTATATTATAGCAAATATGGATTTATATTTAAGGCAAGGCAAGGCAAGTTTATTTATATAGCACAATTCATACACAAGGCCATTCAAAGTGCTGAACAAAACAAGAAAGCATTAAAATCATAAATAATCACAGAACATTAAAAAGAAAGATAAAAATATAAAATCCCTCAGTTGTATGCACAGTTAAACAGAACTGTCTTTAACCTGGTTTTAAACATTGTCAGAGAGGAGGCCTGTCTCACATCTTCAGGAAGACTGTTCCAGATTTTAGCAGCATGAATCTGAAAAGCAGCCTCCCCATGTTTAGTTCTGACTCTGGGCACTAACAGGAGTCCAGTCCCTGTGCTCCTCAGAGTCCGGGCTGGTTCATATGGGACTAACATGTCACTAATATATTTTGGTGCGAGGCCATGGAGAGACTTGTACACAAGCAGAGCTGTTTTAAAGTCTATTCTCTGAGCCACAGGACGCCAGTGCAGAGACCTGAGGACCGGACTAATGTGGTCGTACTTCCTGGTTCTAGTCGGGACTCGAGCTGCTGCATTTCGAATGTACTGCAGCTGTTTTACAGCCTGTTTGGACAGACCTGTGAGCAGGCCATTGCAGTAGTCTAACCTACTGGAGACAAATGCATGGATAAGAATCTCCAAGTCTGCTTTAGACACTATGTTTTTGATCCTGGCAATGTTTTTTAGATGGTAAAAAGCTGCTGATGTTACTGATTTGATGTGGCTATTAAAATTTAAGTCTGAGTCCAGTATTACCCCTAGATTTCTGACCTTGTTTGAAGGTTTTAGGGAGAGAGACTGTAGGTGACAGATGACGCTCTCTCTTTGTTTCTGGGGACCAAAGACAATCATTTCAGTTTTGTCTGCGTTTAGCTGAAGGAAGTTGTTTTGCATCCACTCACTGATCTGTTGGATACAGTGAAGGAGTGAGTCCACTGGTCCATGTTCTCCTGCAGTCAGTGAGACATAGATCTGAGTGTCGTCTGCATAGTTATGATAGGAAACTTCGTTTCTGCGTATTAACTGACCTAACGACAGCATGTAGAGATTGAACAGAAGAGGTCCCAGGATCGACCCCTGTGGTACTCCACAGGTCAGGGCCATATGATCTGAGACACAGTTTCCAATCTCCACAAAGTACTTCCTGTCCTCAAGGTAAGATCTAAACCAACTTAGGGCGGTGCCAGCGACTCCAACCCAGTCCTCTAATCTCTGTAAGAGGATCTCATGATCGACAGTGTCAAAGGCAGCACTTAGATCTAACAAGATTAAGATTGAGACTTTGCCTGCGTCAGTGTTCAGCCGGATATCGTTTGTAACCTTAACGAGAGCAGTCTCAGTGCTGTGGTGGGGTCTAAAGCCGGACTGAAACATATCAAATGAGTTGTTGATTATAAGAAATCTAGTAAGCTGTAGGTAGACAACTTTCTCAAGGACTTTCCCCATAAATGGCAGATTTGAGATGGGACGATAGTTGTTAAGTACCGTAGCATCGAGACTGCTCTTTTTTAGCAGGGGCCTGATGACTGCAGTTTTCAGGGCCTTTGGGAATATTCCAGAATGAAGGGACATGTTTACTATCTGTGTGAGTGAAGGTAACAGACTGCTCAGAACAGACTTCAGAAATCTAGTGGGTAGTACATCCAAGCTGCATGTGGAGGAGCTCAAACTGGAGATTATCTCTTGGACAGTTTTATCATTTACAGGTGCAAAGTGAGTTAGCTCAGAGAGCCTTTCTGGCTGTTGGATGGTTATCTGTGGATTGGAGACAATGGCGTTTTTGATGCCTTGAACCTTGTCATTGAAAAAATTAGCAAACTCATTGCATTTACGTTTGGAAGTAAGCTCTAATGGCATTTGAACAGGGGGGTTTGTCAATCTATTAACTGTTGAGAACAGAACACGCAGATTGTTGCTGCAGCCTTCAATCATTTCAGAAAAATACCTTTCTCTCGTACTACGTAGCACCCGGTTAAACTCGCACAACTTATCTTTGAAGATCTCGTAATCAACCTGGAGGTTGGACTTGCGCCACTTCCGCTCGGCCCTCCGGCACTTTCTCTTTTGTGCCCTGACCGAGTCTGCTTTAGCCCACGGCGCCTTCTGCTTATTTTTCACTATTTTAACCTTCACAGGGGCAACGGTATCCAGAACATTCAAAACACTAGAGGTGACAGAGTTAAACAGTTCATCTACAGTAGAATACGATGCATTCTCAAAGTCTATCATTCCCATAAATAGTTCACTCGTATTTTCATTTATGCGCCTTCTTCGAACAGTTGCAGAGTCCACTGGTGGATTGTTAGTGAAACACATGTCAAAAAAAACACAGAAATGATCCGAAAGAGCAACATCGACCACGTTTACATTTGAAATATTCACCCCCTTAGTAACTAACAGATCTAGAGTGTGCCCTCTGCTGTGGGTGGGGCCACTTACGTGCTGAGTGAGATCAAAGGATTCAAGTACAGAACTCAGCTCATTTGCATTTCTGTCATCAACATTATCCACATGAATATTAAAATCACCTGTAATAACCAAACTATCAAAATCTGTGCATACAACTGAAAGCAACTCGGTAAAATTATCAATAAAACTGTGACATGACTGTGGTGTCTTGTATAGGACAATAAAGAGTATTGGAGGAGATTGTTTTTGTTGTATTTTAAAAGACACATATTCAAATGACAAAAACTTCCCAAGAGACATTCTATGGGAGACAAAGTGGTCTCTAAAAATGGCAGCTAAGCCTCCTCCTTTTTTGTTTTCCCGTATTTCAGATTCAAACTTGAAATTTGGTGGTGATGCTTCTATTAAAACTGCATTTCCTGAATTTTGGTCAAGCCAAGTTTCAGCAATGAACATAAGATCAAGATTATGAGAACAAATAAAATTATTGATTAAAAAAGACTTGTTACAAAGAGATCTGACATTAAAGGTATACAAGAGGATTTTCTACTTCCGGGTGGATCATCAACACTATTGGTCCTCCCAAATGTCAATCATTCTGTTTATACGTCCTTGTCCTATAAGAGCAGAGAGTTTTGTTCAAAAAGTAGAAAGGGCGGTTCTTTCCTAAAATATGGGAAAATCCTCCTTTATACCTTTAAGCGTAGCAAGTTTCAAAGTTTCAGTATCAGCGGTTGCGGTCGGCTGATTCTTACGCGGAACAAGAATTCGATTTTCCAGATTAGACTGATTAACTCCAGATGTTTTTCTGTAATGTATTCTTTGTGTTATCACTGAGGGAATGGCACAGGTGGCTTCATGACAGGGCCCCAGCCGGGTCTCTCCTCTAACTAGACTGCCAGTGGCTGCGAAGCAGAGACCCTGTGCATCCTAGTGTTTAGAGAAAAGAGGGGAAGGGGAAGGCGGGGGAGGAGGATGGAGAAGTGGGTGGCTTTTGGGTGTTGAACGAGGGGGGCAGGGAGGTGGAGGGGTTTTTGGTGATGGGTTAGGGCCGGGGTGGGCTGAGGCAGAGGTTTTGGGTGTTGAACGAGGGGGAAGTGGGGGTGGAATGGTCATGAGGTTAGGGGAGGGACTGGCTGAGGTGGTTTTTGTAGGTGAATTGGAAACCCTAGGTGGTTTTGGAGGTACATATGGGGAGTGGTTTAGAATGTTTGACAGGACTCTAGATCTAGCTAATATGGGTGTGAGAGGAATAGTCTTCATCGCCGATTTTATTAGCCCTGCAGAATGTGCAGGTAGGTCTAACAGTGAAGGCGGGGATGAAAAACAAAGGGAGGTGTTTTTCATGTGTTTTAACTGTTGATTCTCTGACCTGTGTTGGTGATTTCAATGGTTTTGTTAAGTCCTCTGAGATGACTTCTGTTGTGACCTAGGGCTATACAAGAATAAATTGTATTGTATTGTATTGTATTGTAGGTGTCCCCATTCTCTCTTGATGGAGTGGACGTGGCAGGGGGACCCAAGACAGGTCCATGGGAGGTGGCGAGGGAGTCTTTGATGGAGGGGCAGGTGGTTGAGGAAACCCCAGCACAGGCCTGTCTGCTGGAGGCTGGGGTGAGGATGGGGGCTTCAGAGGCGCTGTAGATGAAGAAGGCGTGGCTGCTTTGGAGCAGGCTGGGGATGAGGATGTTGGTGGTGGTGGTCGTGCTGCTGGTGGTGCTATTGGTGATGATGCAGCTGCTGCTGGTGCTGCTGCTGGTGCTGGTGGTGATGCAGCTGCTGCTGGTGCTGGTGGTGATGCAGCTACTGCTGGTGCTGGTGTTGAGATCCTTTGAGGCGGTGATGGTGTTGAGATCCTTCGAGGTGGTGGTGGTGTTGAGATCCTTCGAGGTGGTGGTGGTGTTGAGATCCTTCGAGGTGGTGGTGGTGTTGAGATCCTTCGAGGTGGTGGAGGTGCAGAGACTTTTAGAGTCGGCTTCCTCCCTTTCAATGGCTGCACGCGCTGCGCAGGCTGAGGTCTCAGGGCAAAAGAAAGGTTATCCATCAACACTTTTACTCCGTAAGTGTTCAGATGTGGCCCTTTCCCTTCAAAAAGCTCATGCCTATTCCAGAACAGATTAGAATTCTCAATGAAGGCAAGTCCTCTGCGTGAACATTCGTTGAGTAGGAAAGTATTTAGCTGATACAGACGACTGAATTTCATTTGCTTCCCGTCCACATTTGGTAGTGGGCCACTGATAAAGCCTAGAGTATACTTGCGCGGCGTGGCTTACGTTAGCGGTTGCGGTGGACCTACGTAAGCACAATTGATGTTATACTGGCGCGTTCCCCTTACGGAGTTTTGAGGAGAATGTTGTAATCCCACAACAAACCACATGAGGGCGATCACACAG